TGATTTTCTAGACCATGAACAGGAGTTCACTGAATCAGTTTGCATGTACTGCAAAGGTGGATTTTAGCAGTAACAAGCATGAAATGACTGTCTGAGACAGTTCTTAGAGACAAAAACAATCCCTCAGTCAAGCAGAATTATGGGACATTTGTGGCAGCCATCAGAATTATCATCTAAAAAAAAAAAAGGAAGAAAAAAGACCCAATGTGATGCTTTCCAACAAACTAAAAACAGAACTGGGAGTTAGAAACTGAAGCACTAACATCATTGACAACTTATTTTGTCTTTTCATGCATACTTCTGTCGCCTTGTCAGTTTCCCTACTATACGAAGAAAAGTCACCATTTTTTTTTCTCAAAAGGATATAGATTGATCACATATCAAAATAAAAGTGGTGTATGCTATCCTTATACAGAGATTTGCTAAAGACTTGGTGCAGTTTTAACATATTAATAATGATAATAATAATAAAACTCTTTGTATATGTAAGCCCAAAGGTTTGTTACCTAAGAACGTCTAGAATTTTAAGTTGATTTGGAAGAATGTTTTAGTTAAAATTATTATTCTTAAGTCTTAGGAGTGTCTTATGTTTATAAACATATGCATACAGATTTTTGTTCATATAATCGGACGAAACTAGATCTTTCTGTTTATTTTAGTTATATTTTAAATTGAAATGACATTTGAAAGTTTTTCTTTTTTAAAAAAACACCATCTTACATTCAAATGTCATCTTTCTTTAGTTGTAGGATAGAAATACCTAATTTAAATTGCTCTTGTTCACCAGTGTCAACACACACACACACATACGCACGCACACCCTGGCTTACCCACATCTATAGAGTTTAGGTGGATCAGCCATGGAGTTAGCAAGCTTGATTTTGAAACTTCACTCTCCTACTTGCCTGTGGGACCTTGCAAATAATCACCTTACTTTTCTGTAACTCATTTTGCTTTTCTGAAATCCTTGCCTTTTTGACTTGATCAACAGTCAAAATTTATTTTAATTCTGTATATATTTCATTGGAAAATTATTTTTTTCTAATTCTTTAATAATATTAATTATAGTTGCTTAATCATGTGTTTATGAAGATTAATTAAATTAATATCTGAAATGAACTTAGTACAATGTCTGGCACATAAGTGCTATATAAGTGCTTTGTTTTGTTAGGGTTATATTCTCTTATTTGTACAAGATTATCTTGTATCAACAAATGTGCAGTTAGAATGAAACTTTTTCAGGGCATTTTGGTTTGTTTCTTTAATTTCTATCTTTTTTGAGGCACTGCTATCTATGAAAAATAGACACATTGACATAAAATAGTCTGTTCAGGACGGGATGTACTCAGATAGTTTGAAGTAAGAATAGGAACTTACATTATCATCTTGAAAGTGGTTTAGAGTTTAGCCCAATCTCTTTCATTCAACACAGTTTTTGATACTGTCTGTCGGCATTGGAGACACAAAAGAGTCCTTGTCTCAGCATCTGGTGAGGTTGTATGAGTTTAATAGTTAAAACAGGGGAGGAAATGTGGTCAATTAAATTATCCAAAAAAAACCCCCCCCACCCGCCCCCAAAAAAAAAAGGCTTTGTTCTAAATAGAAAATTGTTTATATGAGCTGATATTGGTAAATTCTATGGGTAAATCTTTAGAGAAATCATTGGCTTTAAGTCACAAAATGACTTTATTTCTTTATTTTTTTGGTTCTTTTGTTCTTTTTTATTCAATAATATTTTCTGAGACCTTTATACCAAATAGTTTATCAGAAATTAGAGACATAAAGGTGAGCAAAACAGACAAGACTTCTGCTCTCAAAGGGCTTATATTCCAGCAGGATGATACAGACAATAAAGAATTTAATAAATAACTTATAGGTCATGTAATTGTGAGTTAAACAGGGAGACATGGCGGAGAGTAGATAAAAGGCTGATGAGACTTCCTTAAATAGGATAGTGTGAAGAAAGCCCATTTTGAGCTGAAACTTAATAAGAATAAACCAGTTATTTGAAACTCTTCAGGAAGGACATTTCAGAAAGAGAGTCAAGCAAGAGGAACTGACCTTGACGGTGGGGATGGGCTTGAAGTGAGAGGGCAGTGGGAGCAGAACTCAGAACTACCCGTGGACCAGTCACAGCTGCTCTTGAGCCCCACTCCCAGTCCACATAGGTCTGCCGTTCTTAAAAGCGCCCAGGTGATGCAGGTGCTGCTGATTTGAGCTCCACACTGTGAGGAAAGGATGGCTGAGTAGATGGGGGCGAGTAGAGTAGATGGAGGCATGAGAAGGCAATGCCAGTCCCCCTGGTCCTCACTGAAAACATTCTTGTTTAGATGGTTACAGTGTAGTCAGCGTTCGGGGTTTACCTGATTCTGCATGGCACTCTCCCCTTAATGCATGCAAAACAAATTCTGTGGAATTGTGGAATAACCTACAATTCTCTCTGTATATGATTCCTGACCAATCTTTGACAAATGGCCCAGACTGCTCACTTCACAGAGCCCAGACATTCTCCCACACTCAGGTTTTGGAAGTATGAGACAGAGGCAAGTCAGGCGGCTGCAATCAAATCAGCTCAACAATTACTGAAACACTTTCTCTGCAACTGGCGGGCACAGTGCGCTTAGTGCAGCAAGGACACAAGCAAATCATATTACATGATTTCTAATAGCAAGCAGCATTCAATCTTTTGGGGATAAATAGCAAAAAAAAAAAAAAAACTGCTCAAGGGAAAAAAAAAACATGAAATGTGAAATAATGAAATAATTAGAGAGTTATATAAGCAGAGGACACTGCAATGTGTAATAAAGTGTTAAACTGAATATTATATACAAAAGTTAATGATGCAGATAAATAAGTACAGTGACCACTAAGAAGGGGGAGAATTGTTTGAAGTTATTAGGGAATGTTTCATACGGAGGACGCATTTCAGTTGGTTCTTGGAAAATGGTTAAAATTTGGTCAGTCAGAGGGGAGAGAGAAGGTATGGAAAGAGCTCTGTCTTCAGATTCAATCAACACACAAAGAATTATTGTATTTCCCAAAGTTTTTGCTGTTTTGCTGCCTTTCAAGGGAAAGCCTTCCATGTGTTTCTGATTCTGAGTTCAATTGAATTACTAGCCCATTGTCTGGTGAGAGCTGTTTGGTGAGGGAGCCCCGTGGGCTTCTCAGAAGCTTTTATCCTTTGAAAGAATCTATTCTGATTTGCCATTGTTAATGAAACTTGTATTACACAATGCTCAAATTTAAGACCTATTGAGAAGGTGGCCATGTACCTCCTTTCATCTCCACATGGGGGAACCACATGACATGTAGGGGCTGCAGAAACCCAGCAGCAGTGCAGCTCCCCCAGCATTAGCAATTGTCTTGAATTTTCTTATGTCGTATCCTAATAGCTTTGAACTAGGCGTGATGAACTGTACTGCTTTCACCCTTCATGAGTAAATACGAAATGTCTTGCCACCCAGAAGATGAACCCTTTGTAGTCATGCATTTCTTCTGAACATGTATGCTTAAGACTCTGCACACTTACATTTCAGTATCCTTGCCTGTGTCAGGCTTCCTTTGGAATTTGTGAAATGTACACTTATGCAGTGGATATATTTTAACTTTTAAGGTTTTTTGTTTGTTTTGTTTTGTTTTTGCATCGGATCCTGACTGATACGTTTGATGAGTCAAAGGACTCACCTCCTTTGCTGAGGCTTTCTGGGAAATTCATGGAGTTATCCTAAATGTTAAAATATTTTCTATTAGCTCAGATAATTCCAAAGGTGTAGGTTCATCATTAATCCCAAAGTTAAGGCCGAAGATAGAAGTGAAAAAATGAGAATGGTTAAAGAGAGGCCCCAGATGACCTCAAAAGAGATCTTAATAGCAATCTGTATGACAGAGATTGTCAAAGTCTCACTCGCTCATTCACATCCACAAAAAACTTTGAGAATGCCCCCCAAATAAGTATACTTCTTTATATATCATATACATGTGCCATTATAGTTAAGTTACTTGCATATGAAAGGAACACAAAAATAGAAATAATAAAGAATGAAATTTAAAAGAAGAATAAAACTTCTAATATTGTCTGTTGATACTTCAAATAAATCTCTTTTGCATCCTCTGGTGTGCGCACACTCTGAGCGCACCTGTGTAAAACGAAGCAGCGGTGTGGTGCAGGGCACTGGTTCTCAAACGTAAGGCGACATCTCGATTTTCTGGAAGCTTGTGAAAACACAGATTCTGCCTCCCCCACACCGATGTCTCTAATTCAGTAGGTCTGGGATGGGGCTCAAGAATTTGCATTTCTAACCACTTCCCAGGCGATGCTGGCCTGAGGACTATACTTTGAGAACTACTGATGTGGTTAAGAGCTTGGGTCCCAAAGTTAGTCTGCCGAAGTTGGACATCAGGATTCCTTAATTACCAAATGTATGACCTTGGGTTAAATTATTTTACCTCTCTGAGCTCAATGTTTTAATCTGTGAAATGGCGATCAAAAGCACCTACCTCTTAGAGTCACCAGAGAGCTTAAAGAGATAACACAAAGTGCTTAGCACCCAGTGCTTTTAACCTACAAATCACCAGTATATGGTGGCTGCTATCTCCCCCTCCTCATCATTATTATCAAGCATCTTTTTAATGTAATAAAGTAGACTTTAGGGAATTTTGTATCTTAATTCATAAGAATTATGGGAATGTGTTTTTCTGCTTTAGCATTACATATTTAGAAAGACCATGCTACAAAGTCTGCCTAAAAGAGAACAGTGTGTTCAGCCCTCTCCCTTCTGTGTGTAACTGTTGACAGTTTGTGGCTAAGTGTGTATTTCTGTCGTCTTTTGTATATACTGAATTCTTGTTGCATGATATAGAGTTGACATTTTTGGTGGTGTGTCTTTGAATGTTTTGGGGCATGAGAATAGTAAATTCAAGTGATTGCTTTGAATTTGATGAATTTTTAACACGTCTCTCTCTACTTTTTCTTCTCTTCCCCTCTTCTTATGCATTGCTAGGACCAAGTACCACTTGCCAGGAAGATTCGTGTGCCAACCAGGGGGTCTGCATGCAGCAGTGGGAAGGATTCACCTGTGACTGTTCCATGACCTCATATTCTGGAAACCAGTGCAATGATCGTGAGTACAACCTTTTCATATTTATATTTTTTCAAAGAGCTTAGAGGTTTGGAGAAACCTTAAGGGACATTATGTAAAAGGATGGCTCTTCTGAAAGATTCATGAGCAATTTTCTCCTCCAGAAACTTGGAAAACAAGGGACTAGTACTCTTATGCGAAAATCAGGGACATTTCTTGCTCAGCCATGTTAGATGTTTTCTCATTTGCTTATTCTCAGTGTTTTTTCTTTATATTAGAAAAACAAAACAATTCAGGCAATATTTTTGTTCCGAGGAGTTCAGTTTTTAATTAACTTAATCATCTGGATAACAATTTTGAGATTCCCATTTACATTGCCTAGAATTTAGAGGCTATTTAAGAACGTAGCTATTTTCTCAAAAATTCTGAATTTAGAGAACTTTTTAGATCTTTCAAATGATGGAGATATTCAGAGCTCATTATGTTTTCCAATTAGAAATGTTTAAAGCATTCTCAGGGGTCTTTCAAATGTAAGGCAGAGATTTCCTCTGGCTAAATTTATTGATACATATTTGGTATATACAATTATATATGTGTATATATGTGTGTATATATATAGAGAGAGTTATTCTGTTTATTTTGTGAGTATGTTTCTATGTATATATCTGTGTATTTGGTTCATATTGGAAAAGAGCCATTTGTTGTCTTTGTCCACTACTGATGCTTCAGGCACACAGCCAATTTAGTTCTAGAAGACTGATTTCATGATGGTGATTCTAGCACTGATGGTTGACATACTTTAATTCTGTGGGAATCTATAACCTGTTTCTCCACTTCTTTCTTATGTTATTTTCCTAATGTGGACACTTTTAAAGGTGAACAAACATTTGAAATTTATGAATACTTACTGCAAAGAGATTTGTTTAAAAGCCCTGACTTCGCGGTCCTGCTGACCATCTAATTTTCTAAATGCAGCCTTTATTGTAGGAGTTTGTTTTACAATCTGAACTTAGTTGGTCTCTTGGTTTCATAAAAAAGATGCATGATGTTTTCTGAGCTAACAGTACAGCCATGTTGTAGTTTGCCTATGTGGGAGCAGGTTCCAATTACAATGCTATCTCTATTATGTGTGTGTGGTTTTCCTTGATTTCTTATTGCTCAACTTTTTCATGTGTGTAGTTGTCTCTTGTTCTGTCTTTCATTTTTCTTGTAGCTTTTTGTCTTCATGTGGTCTGTCATTAAGATACACCAAGGAGAAACAGGTGGGGGACCTGTCAATGTAGAGAGAAAATCCTTTAATACTCATTGATCTAAATGTAAGCATGTCCCTCTATATCCGTAACACAAATGACACACTCTCTGCAGAAGATTTTGGCATCACAGTGCTCTTTCCAAGTATTTGGTATTTCTGAAAGGCCTGTTTCCATATTTATGATTTGGAAATACCCTTCCTCTCTGAGACAGGCAGTTATGGACTCATCCAGAGTAGCTTGGGAATTACGCTGTATGCTCTTTCTTTTCCCTTCAATTTGTCTGCATAGGATTCCATAGGAAGGCTTCCCTCTCCCCCTAAATGTTGGCATAACGCTTCTCTATTCTCACAAGTTTATTCCATATCACACATACACACCACTTCCAGTAGAAAATGGACTGCACACAGAACAGGCAGAAGGTAAGTTACTCTAACAGCGGTGAATGTGCACAGTCTTCAGAAGGTATGTATGTATTTTTCTCTCGTTGACAAGTTTTTTTCTGCCGCCCAGGCAAGGCAGTGTTTTCTGTTAAATATCAACCAGTATTCTTTTCAGCTTTCTATGATTGTTTCTGATTTTGTCAAGAGCGAATTGTGTCTCAGTCCAGAGTGAGGACTATCATGTTATCCGACTTGAACAATTTGTTGATATATAATGAAGCGAACGAGGATTGGGAAAGGTCAGCTTTCTTTTGTGGCAATAGCTTCTCAGTGTTTCAGATATCCTTCAAAATGTTTCTGAGATACCCAGGCTTAGGATAATATATTTTGGATTATATTCTGTAAATAATGCAGTTGAATTTTTGATTGTAGAAGACCTCTGAGTCCAAATCTCTAAAAGAATCTGCTTGTCTGGTCCCCTCTTGGGGAGTGGACCAGGGCTTCTGTATTTAGATGACTGTATGGAAATGGGAGCAAGTGCATTTTAATTGCAGAGTGTGAGGAATATATAGAATTCAGATATACAGGATTATAGGGTATAACTTTGGCGATATATATATATCTCATGAGGCTGTGGGTAAACTTTTAATGCAACCCAACTAAATATATCAAAATGGTGGAATAATTGTTACAATGGATGTCTCTTTATCTAATGATTGACATTTAAAGTATGTGAGGGAACATCTCTTTTGGAACTAGCATCAGAGTCATTTTTTTCCACCTAGAAAATCTGCCTTACTGCTTTATATCATAGATCATTATTGTCTTTGTCGACCTCGACCCTTAGAGTTGTAATTTGCTACTTCATCTTTCAAACATCTTTAAAATGAAGTTACCAATCTGATATTTTCTGTGGCTCCTATGTTAGCAACATCTGGGTAGCTTAGCTTGCATGAGGAGGTGAGCATTAACCCTCAGCGTCACTAGCAGAATTGAACAAGGCTGGTGACACATGTTTATTATTGGCAAAAGCAGTGGGGGAAATTGCAAAGAAAGGAGAAAAGATAACATAAGTGAATGGAAGAAGAAGAAGGATGCGGGAGAAGGAATATAGAGAAGAGCCGGGTTTGAGTCTTCTATGAAAGAGCACAGAGGCCATTAACAATTGCTTTGGTATCATGCATGCCACAGGGGGCCTGCCTTTGACCTAAATAACAGAAATAGGGCATGACATTTTAAGTGGAGTTCCATCAAGGAAATCTGGCCTTTACTCAATTCTTGGGGTAGTATATTCTGTAGAATGTTGTATATATCTAAAAATAAATTCCTTAAAATGTTTTCATAAAACCACATGAATTGGTTAGAAATTCAATCTAATGGCAAAAGACATTTTTTTAGAAGCATAGGGGAAAGGTTTGAATCTCTCATTTTCTATGAGCTGTTTCTAACGGCAGCAGATTGATCCTTAATTATTGGAAATGAAAACATCTGAATTTATTATTACACACCCAAGAATAGAAAATTGTTCAATAGGGAAATAGTTAGGCTATGAAATTTTCCAAAATAAAGTTCTTTGTTCATCATGTGTAGGAAAGCTAATTATTTCTGAGGATGACTTGCAAGTTTCTAAAAAATGTTTGCATTTTAGTATCTTCTTCCTTTTTTCTAGCATTGGTTCTTTCATATATGACCTTTGTTTTTTTCTCTTGCCTGTTTGCCAAATTTGGCATTTGTTTGACAATTTTGAGTTGCTGTCACATTGATGTGACTGCCATGAGTAGAATTTACATTTAAGAACTATATCTCACTTAGTATGAGTAGACCAAGCCAGAATGGTTTCAACTGTAGTTATTATTCTTTGCGAAAGTATGGTAGGTTGATGGAGGCAGTGGGATAAATTCCAGGTTCATTCTTAGGAAGATAGCTGCAAAGCTGACATAGTGGTTGTGAAGGTGACATGTATCTCTGTGACTGATTACCTTATATAATAGTGATTCCCTCGTGTTGGACAGAAACAAAAATATTCTGATTGGAAACTAAAGTATAATTGATTTATTAATTGTCTTAGTTTTATGACATGACTTTTTACCATTTTATGTTATGGTAAAATCATGGAGAGTTTCCTCTAGGTGACTTGTAGGGCTGTTTACAATGGACAGAGTCATCTCGGAAACAATTTTGAGTTCATATAGGATCCAGTAAGATCCATGGAAGGAGGCACACATAACATTCTTAAAAGAAAATCTTTATTGTGAAAAATTCAAAATGGGGGCTGACTTCTCAGAAGGTGAATACTACATGAATGCCAACTTAATGACACAATACTGGGGTTGCATTTTAAGAACATCAGTGGAAACTTATAAGGGTTCTCATGGGATACATTTTTTGTATATTGGGTTCTTATTAGCATTTTAAATCAGGACTGAGATCTGGGTAGTTTCTATATGTTGTAGCCATTATAACATCAGGTAGAATCCATAATCCTTTTCCCATACTGTGTGGCAGTGCCACCCCTACTGGCAGACTATTGTTGAGTTCCTCTCTTGACTTCATGACACAGCAAGATGTTGCACAAAATCCAACTCACTCGTGCGTGCCCACACAAATTCAAAAAAGTTGTCATTTGGGGGGATTTTTTGAAAACAGCCATTCAAAACACCTTACATGTGTCTTCACCATCATGGTTCCCTTTTAGCATGTTCATGACAACTGTTTTGAGTTGCATATAATTTTCGGATCTTGTTATTGCTTCTGTGCCCTGGAGAAGCAAATGTGGAACACTCTTTGTGTGATGAGTCCTTAACACATATCTCATTCCTGGATTTAGAAATTGGGTGTTTATAATGGCTTTGTAGGGTGAATAAAAGAGAATAAGTGTGGGTACTCAGCCCACCCTCAGCAGTCAGCTACCTGTGCTGTGTTGCTAGTCATCCATTGTGGGCTACTTGTTGGAGAAATTGCTGGGTTCACACTGGCATGTGGTAATAGATGTTCTTTGCTTGCAGCAAATCAATAGCAGGTAGCTGTGGATCGTGCAGACAGTGGAGTGTGAAGCACCTTTTCAGATAGTTTTCTGCTGGAGTGGCTGTTAAACTGCACTGCTGGCTATTGATTGGCCTTTTGCTTTTGATTTATTGTGTGGGTTTATTTTTTTTAATGTAGGTTGGTATATTGATTAAATCTGTTAAAAACATATTTCCCATTCAGGCTTCAGAAAAGATAGGCAATATATGCATTACTTAGTGTACAAACAAGGAGGCAGACATGTATGTGCTCATACTGTCTCTTCGGTTTGTATAGGTCCATGTATTATTTTATGGACTTATAATATTTGTGTAGCAGTAATTTCCAAAGATATCAGACTATAGTATGTCCATATTTTTAGTTATGTGTTTATTTCCTACCTTTG